CGCGAAAATTGTTGCAATGTTACGACGCGAAAGTTGTTGCAACGTTACGACGCGAAAATTGTTGCAATGTTACGACGCGAAAGTTGTTGCAACGTTACGACGCGAAAATTGTTGCAATGTTACGACGCGAAAGTTGTCGTAACGTTACGACGGGAAAGTTGTCGCAACGTTACGACGCGAAAGTTGTTGCAACGTTACAACGCGAAAGTTGTCGCAATGTTACGATGCGAGAGTTGTTGCAACGTTACGACGCAAAAGTTGTCGCAACGTTACGACACTCCTGAGTCATGCTCATAACGCCACCCAAGCCAAAACAGACAGTGAACCTTAGATTGGGCATATCGTTCTAATTGTTCTGCATAATATTGAGTGGTTTTCTCTGGCCGTGCATTGAGACGTACTGGTTCTCGGAGGCTGCCCATCCACGGAGAGGGATGCCCAGTCTCCATCGATGGATACGGTTGCCATGTGCCAGCGTCCATCGTTGAGCTTCACGCCGGGTACATCCAGATACTGAAACAAGCAGAAACGGATGTGAGATGTTGCTGATACCAGAGGGACAGTTATACGCAGACCGCAACCTGTGACGATGTGTATGCTATCGTTACATCTACATGTAATTAACCAGTCCACCTGAAGTGATTTACAGGTAGCTAGAGCCAATTATTATTGTGATAGCATTCTAAAAATGCTGCTCAGCAACAAAGTGCAGCAAAGTCGATAATTCAGTATGGACTTGTGAGAAACTTGCTTAATTCACCTAGCAACAATATTCAAGACGAGGGGGTACTAATTCAGACAGTTAGGTTAGTTGCTGAGAAGATGTTTAGACTATTAAAATGTAAGAATGTATCGCAGCAGACTAACAGTCATTGATGATTGATAAATTTCACGGGGCCCAGTTAAAAAAGAAATGAGAAAAGATGTTGTCATATTATATAGCCATCACAAGGTTCAAATCGTATGTGTGATAGATAAGAAATTATTTAAATTATATTTTATATTTTCTCAAAAACAGCAGTGAGAGTTGATAAGACTGGTTCTTACTTGCACGTATCCCCCTCTCTTCATCACCAGCCGCAGATTCCCATTTTTAAGCTCCAACACGCGACCCTTGCCATCCTTGCCATTGATGGACAGCAAGGTGGCGCCATCTTCCTTCGTGCGGAACTGCAGCGCAATCTTACGAGCATGGATCGGCTTGTTGGGCGTTGGTACAACCTTCATGTAGGTGGAGCCATCAAAGTGAAGCTGCGTTGGTACGTCTGCAGAACAAGAGAACACAACTAAGCTGACTGCACTGTGCTGCCATCTACATTTTATCATTCGATTAGCAATGATCAGACTTTAAAACAGCACAACAGTAGAAGACTTAGAACACTGAAATATGAATAATAGAAGTGTTTGATAAGTATGTTTTTACAATAAAATATTAATCATACTTGGCCATGCTCAAGTTCATTTCAGCTACAGTGCTACAGAAGGACGTTTTTTTTCAGCCTCTATTGACGACCAAATTTTGAAAACAAAAAGTAAAACCGAGTTTTCAATGTTTATAAATTGACTGAATCACTATCATTTGCACTGGTTCGCTTACCAGTTTTATCGATCTGTTATCGATACCAGGATGGGGAATGGGCCACAGACATAGTACCCCCCCCCACCCACATCCGGGATCTGCCCAACATACGCGTGTACGTACCTATAGGGTGGTGAGGGTCAATCCGGTATCCCAGGTCTCCGTCGCGCAGATCGAACACGTTCACACCGTTGTAGGTGAACAGACGCATCTCGCCGTCGAACACCGTCCGGTTGTTGAAGTATCCAAAGTAGTCGTTCAGCAGTCTCACGCCGATGTTGATGTTATTCACGTCGATGTTACCTGAGCCGGCTGGCATGTTACCTGTATACAGGTAGGAAAGGCAGTTATACGCACTGGCACATTACTGGCCACAATTCCTGATAATACCATGATATCCACACTGGATAATGTTTCGCGTTACATCTAGGGAGGGTAATTAGTTATGTGGTACACGCCAAAATACCAGCAAACGTTGTCACTAAGCAACGATAATAATATTAGTACTTGAGATTATTAGATACGTATAGTCTTATCGTGGCAGTGATTGGTTAGAGCTGTCTGTCAATCATGACATCATCGTTAATGCATAAATGTTAACATAGGAAAGTTTCATCGTGTCTTGGCACGTGTCGTTCACACTCACGTATTTCAGGGTCGTGATTGTCCACTCGCAGCGTCCACTGGTTTCCAAACCGCGACAGACTGAGTGTGTGCCAGTACTGGTCGTTCCACTTCCTATCATTCTTAGGAATCAATTGCTGAAATAACGAATGATATGATCAATGTCACAGCGACCATATCCACTATATCCTGTCACACTCACTTGTATCTTTTCACACTGACCTGTATCTTGTCCCACTTACCTGTACCTTGTCACACCAACCCGTATCTTGTCACACCCACCCGTATCTTGTCACACCCACCCATACCTTGTCACGCTCACCCGTATCTTGTCACACCCGGCCATATCTAGGAGATGTTTATGGAGGGAGAAGGCATCATGTCTGCCATACCAGAGATGTTGATGGAGGGAGAAGACAGCATAAGTAATTATAAATTATAGCAGAGCTGTAGAGAGAGAAGACAACATAACTAACTATAGCATAGTTGTGGATGGAGGGAGAAGATAACATGACTAACTGTAGCAAAACTGTGGATAGAGGGATAGATATTTTTTCCTCTGCTTACCTGCCCTCACGGGGTATGCGATATCGGGCTCCACTCTGCCGGCGCTGTACATGTCAAATATGGGCATGCCGTCGATGGTGCAGCCCTCTATGTCTCCGACCATGAACGAGCCCCAGTAGAAGTAGCCCTCGTTGGCTCTATTCGCACCAACGTTCACTTGTTCCACCACCATGTTCATATTACTGAAGCGCTCTGTGAAATGAAAAACACAGCCATGAGTCTATAGATATCCTGCATAATTTTGCTCTTCTAACATGCACATGCACATGTATGACTGATAGCAAAGCCTGGTTCGTGCTCATAATATTTTACACTATTATTATTATTATCATATTATTTGTGCTCATCTTAATTTATAAGCGAAGTTAGATAAGATTGTGAGAATCTTTTTTATTGTCATGTTATATATCGAGTAATTGGGTCTGGTTGCATGTTGAAGCGTAACGGTTCTGGAAAGTACGTCCATGTTGCTATCGCGACACGACAACACGACCTTGACTTAAAATTGTCTAATTGAAATTGCCTCTCCTGACTTAAAATTGTCTAATTAAAATTGCAACGTTACGACGCAAAAGTTGTCGCAATGTTACGACGCGAAAGTTGTCGCAACGTTACGACGCAAAAGTTGTCGCAACGTTACGATGCGAAAGTTGTTGCAACGTTACGACGCGAAAGTTGTTGCAACGTTACGACGCAAAAGTTGTCGCAACGTTACGACGCGAAAGTTGTCGCAACGTTACGACCCGAAAGTTGTTGCAACGTTACGACCCAAAAGTTGTCGCAACGTTACGACGCGAAAGTTGTCGCAACGTTACGACGCGAAAGTTGTCGCAACGTTACGATGCGAAAGTTGTCGCAATGTTACGACCCGAAAGTTGTCGCAACGTTACGACCAGAAAGTTGTCGCAACGTTACGACGCTAAAGTTGTCGCAACGTTACGACGCAAAAGTTGTCGCAACGTTACGACCCGAAAGTTGTCGCAAAGTTACGACCCGAAAGTTGTCGCAACGTTACGACCAGAAAGTTGTCGCAACGTTACGACGCTAAAGTTGTCGCAACGTTACG